GCAGAGGGAGGATTGTGGAGAATCAGTGCTTGCCCCAGGTCTGTGGGTTTTAAAGCCCTCTTTGCACTTCCCTGTGCTGAGCACTGATTAATCCTGGAACCATCTCACAGGAGAACGGTGGCCAGTGGCAGGATCACCCGTGTGCTACAGAGCACTGGGGACCATCAGAGGATCAGCCACTTGGTGCAGCGCATCCAGGCTTCCCCCTGGAACAACGCGCTATCACAGGGCCTCACGGCACCCCCCAACAAGGTAAGGAAGGCAAAGGCATGGACATGGCAGGGGTGACCGAGGCTAGGAGGGTGAGGCTGAGTGTCCAGGGGGAATTTGTGCTTTCAGTTGCCCCAGGGAGAGCTGGGTTGGGAGGGTTGCTGGGGGAGGGTGAATTGAGCCTCAGCTGCTCTCTCCTTCCCAGACTAGTATGACCAAGCTGCTGGGCAGCAGTAGCCACATTTCTAAGGGCCAGAAGGACCAGCCTCCTGTGGTGGACAGGGCACAGGGTGAGATGGGTATGTCCCTGTCAGGGCACAAGACCGGAGGGAGGGGGTACTGGTTGTATGCTGGGGGGAGAGCTGGGAGCTGGGTGGGATGAAGGAGGTGGAAGCAGGATGGAGCAGGAGCACTGGAGGATGGGGTGACTGGGGCTGGGGGTGGAGCAAGGTGGGGGTATGGCCCTGGCCAGAGTGGGACAACAGCTTGTGTGCTGGTGGGTGGGGACCAGCACCCCCAACCCTGGGGTCTCTGGACAGGCAGGTGCCCCTGCTGCCTGCCACGTCCTGGGCTGGCAGCACTGCCCCAGCGGGGGGCTGCCCCTGGGAAGTGGGGAGCTCACCCTTGCCCCTTGTCCCCAGGCCCTTCCACATCTCAGGAACAACGGCCAGCCAAGACCTGCAAGCCCAAGCACGTCGCCTGGGCACCGGAGCTTGTCCAAACACCCCTGCCCTGCTAGACATCACCTGCCCCCAAGCAGCCAGACAGGACTGGACGCCCAGTACTCAACAGGGGACATCTCTTCAGCAGACACAGAAGTCTGTTAAAATTACCCTCCAAAAGAGGTTTTATTAGCTGAATAAAAAAACCTTCAAATTGCAGACAAAGCCTGGTCCCACCAGCCTCTCTCTTCCTCGGGCTCCCTGATGCTCCTCAACCTTTCTCCTCCCTCCTGTCTCTCTGCCACCAGACTGAGCACATCGTGCCCCGTGGCCAGGACTTGAGGCCGGCCCTGGTCCCGTGGCGCCTTGTGGGGCATCTCTGAGGATCTGGGGCCTGCTGTGGAACCAGGAGCAGCCCAGGGTGTGCTCAGGCCCCAGGGGCTGCCGAGCCCGAGCCCCTCTTGTTCTTCAGCTGCACTGGAAATGGCTTCAGGCTCAGCTGCTCCACACCCTTCCCGGGGATGGAGGTGAAGCCTCTGCTCCTGCTCCTCCTCACTGTTCCTGGGGAGGGGGTGGCCCAGAGGCACCATCTCCTGGTGTGGAGCAGTTTTTGAGGAGGAAATTAGCAATTTTGACAAGGACACTGGTTAGGCAGCAAAAGGATGGGGAAGAAACAGCCCTGCCAGGGAAGCAGCACATTCCCAGCCCTGATTTTAGCCCTGGGGCTGCCCAGCTGTGGTGTCCCCGGGAGATGGGACACAGGCAGCCCCTACAAAAGCCAAATTGCACATTTAGTTGTTCATAGGTCTCCCAGCACCAAGCAGAGACCTGGATCATGCTCCACCTCCAGAGGGGACATCCCAAAGGGACGTGCCATTGGGTGCATGGAGCATTGGGTACATACTATTGGAATATGGACCACAGGTGGCCACAGCATGGCCAGTTAGAGCAGGGCAGCCACATCTACACAGAGGTGTCACCTCCATGTCTTGTCCCTATGCAGAGGCCACTTCCTGCCTCATCCCTACCTCATTCCTGGACTAAACACAGCGCTGACTCACCTGTCCAGCTCCAGGCATGAGCAGATCCCAGGGTTGAGGTCCCTAACTCAGATGAGGAAGGACATCCCAGGCATCACCTCTCCTGAGCTTCCTGTGATGCCCAAGGAGCATCACAGGTGGCAAGGTCCCCATGCCACCCTCATCCCACCCCTTTGCACACAGCAGTGCTGCGCCCCAACCTGGGCTCCACTCCATGGATGGATATTAGGATAAAAAGAAGTGCAAAGATTACTGTTGGCAGAGTTTACCAGGTCCTCCACTGTGACTTAGGCATCTGTAGACCTCATGTTTTATTAATCCCCACTGTACAGTTAATGGCATTGAAAGGTGATGCTTGCAAAGGCCTGTGCTGCAGCAGCCTCTCTGTGAGATACAGGGGCTCGAGCACTTCCTTGTAAATATGCACATTGAGGAATTATATAGTGAGACTACACAAAAGATGGAGCTGGAGTCCTTAGCAGGAATATGGTGCTTACAGCCTTTGCCCCCTGCCCAGCCCAGGGAAGGGCTGGCTTGATGGAAAACTCACTGTTTTCTGCCAGCTGTACTGGATAAAGCCTCCTGTCCACAAAACCTGTTTTCTTCCCTCCAGGAGTGTTGGCTGGAAAAGAGGGCTTGCTGGTGACCTGTCAGCCACCATGGGGACAGCTCAACAGCCACTGCTGGAGCCGTCCTTCCCCTCAGCAGTGAAGACAGGATAACAGAGCAGAGGGTCACAAACCTCCCTGAAACCACTGCTCAGGACCGAGTTGTGACAGTGGGATCACCCACAGGAGCCACCACCAGCTCCCCACCCCAGCACTGGGAGAGGATCCCACCCTTCAGCCCTTCCCAGCTGTGGAACCTTAGGACCTGACCTGAGTGAGCAGCAACTGCCTCCAAAAGCCAAGGGCAGGAGTGTAACACCTTCATCAGCTCCCCATACTGCACCAGCACTGGGCTGAGCCCTATGGACCTTCTGTGACTGGAAATTCCTCCCAACTAAAGTTCAAATGAATTATTCTTCTTCCAGCCCTTGGAGGACAGTGAAGCCCATGGCAGCAGCACCCGCTCCAGAAATAAGCCATGTGGTGACCCAGGGACCCACTGATCTTGCCCTGGTGTTTTAGGAGATCCCGAGACCCTGCACTGCACAGGGTCAGGGAACTGCTGGAGAGACAAAGTCCCAAGTTATTTGTTCTTGACAGCAACTCTCACTCACCTTGAAAAAGGAAAATCAGGGACCACACTGCAAAGACCCCGTTGCAGCTGTATGGACAGTTTTTATGGTGCTGTCATCAGTCATCTGTAACTTTCTCAGGGCCTTGCTCTGGAACCAGCCCACCACCTGCAAATCTCACCTGCTACTGGAAAGAATTTAAAACTTCCAGGTAATCATGGTAATGGAGAATTTTAAATCCAGGAACAGGAAGAGCCAGAAAGCAAGGGGAAAAGCATTCCATTTTTTCCTGTATCTTAGGGCAGCTGGTAATACCTTCCTATAAAGGATCTACACCCACTGGGTGCAGGAAAACACAGCAGGAAGAGATGGATGTTTTGTTGCTGTATGAGCAGTGCCAAGCCAGGGCACAGGCAGTCAAGGAAGTTTCCAACTGAGATGCTGTAGAACGAAAAAAGCACCAAGCCCTGGAATAAATCTCTCCAGTCCTGCCTCACCAGTGATAGTAACCACACAATGCTCAGAGCATCCATATGGGCATGGGGTAGGAACACAAGGAGAGGAGAGGCAGGAGGCTGGGAGCTGGTAGCTCCTCCCAGACTATTCCACTACAGTTCCCACTTCCCAATTCCCTACAATTCCCACTGATCCCTTTCTCTGAAGGTTTGTGGTAGGTGAGCTGGAAGGGATGAGGATGACCCAACCCCAGCCTCTGGAAAATGAAGGTGGCACCAATCAAACTGGAGTGGGTGCCAGCATCAAGGGGAGGTGGGTCCAGTGCAGCATCCTGCAACACTCCTCACCTCTGGGCATTGGGGATGTGTCAGTGAGGGACTAGGGAGATAATCAGAGGGGAAAATCACCATGGATGAATAAATAGCATCACCACCCCACAGCTCAGGAGATACCTGACAGCAGGAGCTGCCCCAGGCGTTGGGCCTGGCTGTCCTCACCTCTGGCATGGGATGCAGGAGAGCAGAGGCCACTGGGTGCCAGCTCTGGCACAGCTCATGCCCAGGGCAACTCTGCAGCCTCCCAGGCAGCTGCAGAGCCCAAAGACAGATGGCTCAAGGTCACTGTTGTGGCTCAGGGCAAGGGGGACAGTGCCACAGCCCCGTGTCCCCAGCCCCTTCCAGCTCCTGCTCCGCAGAACACCCTGAACACACCCCAGCAGCCCCGGGGTGCCCAACTTCAGCCACAGAGTTTATTGTTTAGTACGAGCTCACCACACCAGCAAGCCAGGACAGGGGGGTGGTACATGAATACAGATGTGGAGGAGTTACACAGACAGATTTGTACAGCTTTTGTACAGAGGAAGAAAATGAATCAAATAACAAAATAGACATTAGCAGTCAAACCTTTTTTTTTTCGTCTTTTTTTTTTTTTTATATCATACTAACAAAATCTGATAGCCAAAAAATGACTAAGCTACAAAATTGTAATACATACTGTACGGGTAAAAGGTTATCATCCATTTATACATCTAGTATTGTCTTTATTCTGGTAACTTACATGAGGCCTATAGGATCTTAGTGTATTAATAACTCCCTACAGATAGTGCTGAGCTGCTAAAGCTGCCAAATAATGGAGTACTAGAATTTTTGTTAAGACTTTTACAGTGTAATTTGCATCATTTTGTTTAATGAAACCCTCATGCATCTCTACTGCAAGCCAGAGGAGCTGCTGGTGGCTGGGGTGAGGCAGGAGCTGTAAGGCCTTGGCTGGCAGCCTGACACAATCATTCCATAGGGCACCAGCACGGTGCTGCCCCTTGCTCCAGCTCCCTGGATGCTGCAGGAGGAATAAAGCTGAAATCCCCAAGCAAGACTGATTCTTTTCCCTTTGGTCTTGAGAGTTAGAGAAGAAATCACTCAACACAGAGCAGTCTCCATTCCAAAGGCTTTTTTTCACTGGATAGCAGCTCAGCTTTCAGCAGAAAAGCATCACTAACTGTCAGGGTAATGCCACTGGCCCTGAGGCTGCTCCCACAGCCGGGGTGCTGGTCCTTCCCTCGGAGCCCAGAGCTCCAGCAGTGCGTGACCTCCTGCTCCCAACCCTGCAACTCTGGGGCACGATGCTCAGGACCCAGCTCCAGATGGAAAACCAGCATGGCACTCCTGGGCTGGGAGAAGGGCTGGGGAGAGCACAGCCCCCCACACCAGCTCTCAGGGATCGAGATAAGAGCAAGGCTGAAGCCGAAGGGGGAGTGAAGGCACAAACAGGAACCAGCCCGGATCGACAACAGGAGATGGTGCATCAGTGCTCCAATGCCCTTGGAAATCTCTCCCGAAGAACCAAGCCAGTAAGAACAAGTATTGTGAAGTACTTTATACACCACCACATAGGCAAAAATAGCACTCAAACTTACAAATAAATAGAGGGGCTGGGGAATCTCCTCCTTGTCCTTTCCAAGTCTGTCCCTAGTTTGGTCTCTTATAACCTCAGAAGGGCAGCCAGAGGCCAGTGCCCTGGGGAAGCCTGTGCCAATTTTGGAGAGGGAGGACATGACTGAGGTCTAACCCCCCCTGGCCCCTTACACAGGATTGGGCTGAAGCCCAGATGACAGCATGTCCTGTTGGTGTTGTGGTTGGTCCTATCTGGGAGCAGCTCCCATGGACCTGCACCCAAAGGATGTTGGGAGCTTCACCCCACTGCCCATTTGGGTACAGCCCTGCAACAGGACAGCCACAGAGCCTCCACAGAGAGCCAAGCAGTGCTATCAGCTCCTGGCTGATCCTTAGAGACCAGTACAGCTCTTTACAGTCAGAAAAGACCATCAGCACCAACTCTGAACCTGCTCTGATTCATCTGCTGCTGTTCTGCACTGTCACCCGAGCTGAACGGGAAAAGCCACAGGTCTGAGCTGCTCTCAGGGGGTGGTCCCCAGGAGGAGGCAGGAGCCAGAGACTCCTCCAGCCTGAGAACTTCGGATCTGATTAACAGAACCAAATAAATGGTCCCCATAACCACTCCTGGTGAATCCTGCCCTGTACAGAGCCAAAGGGAGGTGGAAAACACAGGTATCATTCCTCTGTAGGTGAAGGCAGCTGGTCACAAGTCATGAGAAGACCTATCAGGGAAAATAACTTACAAACCAGAACGGGGCATCCCTCCTGCAAGGGTCCAGGAAGCCCTGGGAAGCTGCAGACATGACTTTAGAGACCATCCAGCCAACAGGAGCACTTCGGGAAACACCAGCCCTAAATTCTTAAAACAGCAGCTCCCAGTGAGGTATTCTCTATTGAGGGCTGTAACAAATGAACACTCCCTCTGGGACTTTCCTAAATCACTTAGAAGATGAATACCCCACCAGGA